TATGTGTCCACTGGTGACTTTTACTTTGTCATCTACATTCTTCTTGTGTCTGAAAATTTTTGTTCCCCATTAAAGGTGAGGTATTTTCAATTTTGTACCATCAGTTTCTTTTATCATTAAAGAGCAGAGATGCTTTTGAATGTAAGCTTCATAGAGCAATGTTTTTTCGATTTTTTTTAAAGATTTATTTATTTATGCATACAGAACTGGGGAACAAGCCAGAGGTGCAGGGGCAGTGAGAGGCTTCGCCAGAGACAGAGCAGGGAGCAGAACAGGCAGATTGAGGAAGTACACTGCTAAGGGGAGCAGTGGGCAGGTCAGTAAAGGTCTGTCGTGCCATGTGGATCACCTCCGGCTGGGGATCGAACTTGCACTGAAGTGGCTGCAGCTAGCTTGCAGTGCTGCGTCCTAACCTATTGTGCCACCAGGAAGGGCCTATTTCTTCCATCTTTAAGGAATTTATAGTCTTCCCATCTTAATTGGTTCATTACTTAATATAGGTGTCATTATATGAGTGAAATCTACAATTGAAAGTGTATCAATCAATCATTAAGGAAAGTGTAAGAGGCTTTATCTGCAGCCTTTGTCTACTGTCCTTATTCTTCTAAACTCTACTTCCTGATGATTCTGTTTCAGAAAAGTATAGCATTGTTTCTTATTGTGGTTTGATGTTTCATAATCCATGCTAATATGGAACATTTTATTAAATTTAGTTATTAATCATCCAAATTTGTTCAAACCACTTGAATTCATAAACTTTTGGCATTAAAGGAGACTTAAGAGTCTCTAATTTATTCATCCAGTGGTTGAGGAATTTGTCACTGATCAGTTAAAGTGCTGACAGAAATGGAAGGAAGTTTCTTGTGCTTTTAGTAATCTATTTAGAAAAGCAGTTTTTTCTCTACTCCTCAAGGTTTTTCACTCTTCTCTGCTCCTCAGTGGACCAGAAAAAAAATACATAAGCAGTTTTGCAAAAAAAGGTGCAAGGTTGATGGAAATGGACGATGCATTTAAGTCAACAGCACAGCAAATATTCCAACTGTAGTTTATATACAACAAAATATTCTGTTTTCTGTCCCAAATCCTTCATTAGTCAGAACTAATTTTTAGTACAAACATCGGCACTTTTACAAATGAACTCTGATCCTTTAGCGGACCACTCCTTATCCTTACATTTTCATTTGTTTTTCTTGACTTTGACACCTAACTTGTGTTTGTTTGTTTGTTTTTACCAATTTTTATCTGTTTTATCCTAAAATTATGTTAAACCTTTGACTCTTATGAAATAATAAAGGTAGAGAAGATAACCCAAAGGTTATGTTTAATTCATCTGTAGTATATTAACCAGCTTTGTTTTAAATTCAGCTGTATTTTTTCTGGGTTTGAAGTTGATAATCTTTATCAACACAAGTTTCCAGAAGGCACTAGAGGGAACAAATGGGATTGTTACTAACGTTAAAAATCAATTATTTTTGCCATGTTGGCATATGCTTTGCTTTCATTTTTTTTTTTTTTATGGTTGCTGATGGTACCAAAGAATATTCATTTCTGTGAGCACAAACTAATACCTTCAAGGTCAAATCCAGTATCAAAAAAATTGTATACTTAGTCATATAATATATTACTTCTGCCATTTTCATACCTATGAAAGTAGACATATGCAAGTTTTGTGTACTCCATAGCTCCTGGTTATACACATTATTAGAACCTCAGAGGCCTATTTGCTATGACATCCCATTGCTCTCCTTTGCTAGTACCTACAGATTCTGTACCTGTCCAAGGAATAACTAGTTAGGGATTAAGCTATATGAAATTGTCATTTGCATAGGTTAAAAAAGCCACCAAATATTACCCATTTCATATTGTTCAATCAGATTAAGAAATCAAACAAAATTATGCTATCCTGGTGTTCTATTTCAAATCAGTTTATTTTCCATTTTGAATCACTAATTATTGAAAAGGAAGTTTGATTTAAAAACTATTGTACATAAAGCATTGTGCTAAATTCCAGGGGTGAAAAAGATATAAATATACCTTGCTTGAGGAGTTCATGATTGGTTTTTCAAGTGTGAATGGTTGGTTGTATTTGCTGTGAGCTTGTGAGTTTATTGAAGTCAAAGGCTGTATTTGATTGTACTTTAACTTTCTGTGCATTTATCACATAGTAGATAATCAGTGAATGTGTGTTTATTTTGTTTAAAGTACGGGAAGAAGGAATGCAAAGAGGAAAACTAATCTGAGAAGAATCTGATAAGATGAACTTGTCACAGGAAACAGGAAAGACTGAAGAAATTAGTTTTTTCTTTATAATTTACCTCCAAATTAGTTTTCTATACCAAAATATTTTTAAACTTATCAGTTGAAATACTTCTTTTTCTAACAGACATTGAGTTTGGTTTGTTTGCAGAAATTGGGACCAGTCTGCAATAATAAATGTAACCCACTGAAAATAAAATAAAATAAAATAGGGCCCTCCCTGATGGCGCAGCGGGTTAAAGCACAGCACTAAGAAGCTAAAGCCACTTCCTCATGAGTTCGATCCCAGCCTGCCCCGGAGGAGATCCACATGGTGTGGCAGACCTCTCCTGGCCTGCCCGCTGCTCCCCTCAGCAGTGTATTTCGCCAGTCTGCCTGTTCTGCTCTCCGCTCTGTCTCTGGTGAATCCTCTCACCCTCCACATCTCTGGCCTGTACTCCAGTTCCATATGAATAAATAAATAAATCTTTAAAAATATATAATAAATAAAATAAAATAAACTTCAAAGTCAATAACCAAATTGTTCTCATCAATGATCACTTTGTTCAGTGAAGGTTATTTCAAGGTATGAACTATGACATTTATTAAAAATTGGTCACGCAGCATGGCAAATGAGAACTTTGATGTCATATTTCTCATTCCTACTGCATAGATACCTCTTAGCACTTCTTTTTATCATTATTAAGATTACTAAAGTATGTGTTCAAGTTGATTTAAGGTGTTCATAGTACAATTGTTCCTATTCAAAAGCTTCTTGAAAAATCTTTTAAAATATTTTACTTATTTATTTTGCATAGACTTGGGGTGCAGGCCAAAGGTGCAGGGTGTAAGGGATTTACCAGAGACAGTGGGGAGCAGAACTGCCTTATTTACTGAATACACTGCTAATGGGAGAGGCAGGCAGTCCACAGAGGTCTGGCTCCCCTGCCAGGGATCAAACTCTGGCCTTCCTGATGGGCCTTTGTCATGGTAGTGCTGAGACTTAACCTGGTGGCCCAGGGAGAACCAAAAATATTTCTTAATACAGTTCAGCTCCATTCATCAAGAACCAATAACCAAATTTCTGTTTACATTTGAAAGTATAAAAGTCATTTTGGAAAAATGACTGGAAAAACAGTCATTCTGAGAATTTTACAAGATATGAAAGAGTAGCTAAAGTAACAGTCAATAGTGTGTAATAGGCTTGCCATTTACAGATACATACCACATACTAGTTAAGAATAAAAAATATGCTCAAATTAACAAAAGTTAGAATTATTAGATATAATACTTTTACCTATGAGCATTTAATGTAGGAGTGAAAAGAAGGAAAATCATAGGTAAAAGAGTAAATTGCTAGGACTTTAACAGAAAGCAAATTGGTTATGTACACTAAACCCTCAAAAATTTGCAGTCCTTGAATCCTTGAACCAGCAATTCTATTTCAGGAAATTCATCCTAAGCAGATAATCAACAGTTTATTCAAAGATTTAGTATTCATTGCAGTGGCATTTACACATGAAAAAGTAAAACAACATTAATGTACAGTGATAATGGAATAATACTTAGTCATGTTAAGCTACTACATATTTTGAGTGTTTAAAACAAATACTGTATTTTATATGATATCAGTAAACATTTATCTGTATTTATATTCAGTGGTCAAAATATATACTTCCTTCATACATAGGAGGTCACTAAATCATATATATATATACACACACACACACACACACACACACGCACACAGACACAATTACACCATCATAAAGCAATCATACAATCACACACACTTTTTTTTTTTTCTGGAAGTGCGCACACCAGGATTTTAACATAAGTTACCTCTGAAATAGGAGTCAGACATTTCAGAAACGGTTTTAATTTTCCTCCCTGCTCATCTCATTTGTTCATTTTTCTTTAGTGAACAAAGGTCACACTTATAGCAGTACAAAAATTACAAAGAAAAGTTAATTGTTAAGATCCAACTTTTACTGAAAAGGTCTTCCTTTCCCACAGATCTACAGATGTTGTATGTGTGTATTCTTTTCTATGCCTGTTTGTGTGATTATTAAGATTGAGAAATATTCTGTGATGATGGGCAAAAATAATTGGGTTGTACCTTCCTAAGTAGTCTAAAAGATTACTATGACAAATAATTACCTCAGTATATAGCATTAGTCACTTCAGAAACATTGCAACAAAAAAAAAAAATAAATATAATCCTAGTAAACTAAATTTAAAAGTAGGTCGGGGAACTCTTTGGTAGCACAGGGATTAAAGTCTTAGTGCTATAAAGCTGTCATGGCATGAGTTTGATCCCCGGCCAGGGAGCTAACCAATATGGTGCAACAGACCTCTCCTGTCTCACCCGCTGCTCCCCTCAGCAGTGTATTTCAGATCCACCTGTTCTGTGCCCCACTCTGTCTCTGGTAAATCGCTTACCCTTCTGCACCTCGGACCTGCACCTCAGTATTTATATGCATACACATTTTTTTTTAATGGCACTTGGGTTTTTACCTCATTTGGATGTCAGTGAGGTTCATGTTACTAAGTTTTCTTCTATAATATCTGTGGCATTTGAAAATAGTTGTAGTGTAATAGCATTATTGTAAGGTAATGCTTATCTACATTAAATTGCAACTGTAGCTACTGTCTTCTACCATAGATGCTCCCAGAGTTTTCGCGGGGAAAAATTGAATTCACATGATACCTGCAAGCTACACAAAGAATACATTCACATTCTTTTTAATGTTTATTCCTTCCAGGACAGATATCAGTGGATGGATTTATGCGCTACCTGAGTGGAGAAGAAAACGGAGTCGTTTCACCTGAGAAACTGGATTTGAATGAAGATATGTCACAGCCTCTTTCTCACTATTTCATTAATTCCTCACACAACACCTACCTCACAGGTACAACATTTACTTCTTTGTAGTTTCTTTTCTGTGAATTCCTTCTGAGAACTGGGGTTCCATAACCGGAAGATTCAGCCCCAGGTGGTCCTCACGCTTATGAAACAGTATCGTTTCTTCCCAACCTATATCTTTAAGGTGTAAAGTCTTAAAATTTATCCAAGCCTGATACCTTCAGACCAATGGAAATTTTGTGTAACTAAATTTGTTCCCCGATGAATTTGAAGCCCTTTCAAATTGATCTTATTTCCAAACTCTCTTCATCTTCAGGAAAGTTCTGAAGCCCTTAATAATGTTTGCACAAGGCAAACTGCTAATTTTGCTCAGTTGGAACAAGGCTTTAGATATAAGAAAGTTTGCATGGCAACCTATAATTTGTTGTAAATACTAAAGGAAAATAAAAGTAACATGTTCCTTAATTTGATCTCATATTGAGTATTGCCATGGTTTTATAGATCATAAATAGAAAATAATAAAATATATATGTACATATGTATTCACAAGTATATTAATCCAACATAATTTAGAATTAAGCATTGTAATAAATTCAGTATTTACTTATCTAAAAAAAATTTATAAACATAAGCATTTGTTCCAGAATATTTTTTCTGTGGCAGATCTCTAATTATCAGCCTTAAACATTTTTTTAAGGTTTTTTTTAAGATTATTTTATTTATTTATGCATTCAGAATGGGAGTACAGACCAGAGGTGCAGAGGCAGTGAGAGGACTCACCAGAGACAAAGTGGGGAGTAGAACAGGCAGATGGGTGAAGAACACTGCTGAGTGGAGCAGCAGGTGGGTCAGGAGAGGTCTGCATACCATGTGGGTCACCTCCAGGCTGGGGGATTGAGTTCTCACTGAAGGGGCCATGGCCAGCTTCAGTAGTTCTGCACCCCAACCCACTGCACCACCAGGGAGGGCCCTCTTAAACTTTTTTTTTTTTTTTTGTAGGAGCCTGCCTGATGGCGTAGGGGTTAAGTCTCAGTGCTATCAATGCTGTGGCCTGAGTTCAATCCCCAGCCAGAGAGCTAATCCAGAGCACAGCAGCCCTTGTCTGTCTCCTCTACCGCTCCCCTCAGCAGTGTATTTCAGTAAATCCATCTGTTCTGCTTCCCACTCTGTCTCTGGTGAAGTCTCTCACCTCCCACACCTCTGGCCTATACCCTTGTTCCTCTATGCTTAAATACATACATATATACATAAACAAATAAATATTTTTAAAAAATTTTTTGTAATTGAAAAAAAAAAAAGCTTTAAAACAACTGTTTCTCTCTCCTACTCCACACATTCCATCATTCAAATGATTGACAGCCCTTAAGACCCACAGTACTACCAAAATCTGGGTTTTCCTTCTTATCTGAGATGTATTGCTCACCGTGCCTTGGGGTAGGTCTTGGTGTGTGTGGCTCATTGTTCAGGACTGTGTGTTTTGTGCCTCATGGTAGATGGCAACAAGCAGTATGCTTATGGCCACAGGGAGATCAGGCACTGGATATTTATGGAGGTGTCCAAGAGAATCCACAGGATTCAGCCTCTGGCAACTAAACTGTTTGTTCTTCCAGATTTCTTAAGGAGATCAAGCCATTTGTTCTTCGATTCCTTAAGGAGATCCATCCTCCAGCAAAAAATGTACATTGTGTTGCTATTGAACAAAACATAGCCCCAGTGTCCATACTTTGTTGGAAAAAAGTGAGGTGAAAAATGAGTCTTGGGAAGAGATAATGAGTAGTCTCCAGATAGCTCAAATGGGTTTCCGCAGATGATTCCTTTTCATCTCTGAGCATCTAGCGAGAATTATATAACTCCCCTTTTACAGTCTGTTGAATTGCAACTTGTTTGTTCTTCATGAAAATTGCATAGCTCTCAAGCTACCAATCATCTGTTTTGTTAGCTGACATTATTTACTAATACAAATTCATGACATATAACTAGATTTACACTGGGCTCATCTTAAGCCCTATACTGTTGACTTCTTGCAACATAACAAATCACTCAAAAACTCAGTGGCATAAAAAGCCACCATTTTATTTTGACCCGTAGTCTGTATGTCAGGAATTCAGACCGGGCACAAGGAGACGACATGACTCTGCTCCCTGAGGTCTTGGGTTTCCAGTGCAGGGTGAATGGCTGTGGTTGCCGAGATCACCTGGAGTCTCCCCCATCTATGTGACTGGCATTTGGGTTGGGATGATATAGTAGCTGGGATTAGATGAAGCTGTCAACCTAGTTGATAAGAAACTTCACCCGTGGCTCCTCACAGCATGGTAGCCCCTAGGTAGAACAAGTTTCCTTGAGAATCAGAAGCCAGAAGCTCAACTGACTTTTTGCTATTAGCCTATGAAATCTTTTTTTTTTTTAAGGATTTATATATTTATTCATACAGAACTGGGGTGCAGGCCAGAGGTACAGGGGTGGTGAGAGCACTCATCAGAGACGGAGTGGGGATCTTCAAAGTACACTGCTGAAGGTAGCAGTGGGCTGGTCAGGGGAGGTCTGCCACACCATGTGGGTCACCTCCAGGGCGGGGGATCGAACTCACACTGCAGTGGCTGCGGCTGGCTTGCAGTGCTGTGCCTTAACCTGCTGTGCCACCAAGGGAGGATCCAGTCTATGAAATCTTATGCTATCACTTCTTCCTTCACAACAGGCACAGACCTATCCAGCTGTCCATGGGAGAAGTATCTGTTTGTTTTTTTATAGCAATTACTACAGATTTATAACTTCAAGAGGAGAAATTTATCTTGGAATTTGTTCATTACAGGCCTACTACAAAATTTTCACCAACTCTCACTCAAATTGATAAATCTTTGTAAAGGATTATTTTCCTTTTGTAGGGCTCTGTATCTTATTTGATACCATTGACTTATCTGGAAGTCTGATGAAACCTATAGAGTATTCTAAGAATAAAGTTAAATGTATAAAATAAAGTACATAGGAAACAAATTCCATTGAAATATTTTTATAAAATAATAAAAACAATTTGTAATAAAATAGATTTTTCTGAAAATCTACACTAGTTTAAATATTAGTTTTATATGTGCAACAATTAGAATATAATAAAAATATCTTGTGATCTCTAATGTTGACAAAATCATAGGCCCTGCTAATACAACTGTAATTTGTAATCTATATTTATAAATGAAAAGAATGCTAACTGTCACATAGAGGTTATTAAAAAGGTAATCTTTTGTCTCATCCGAATTCAAGAGTAAACCTCAAGTAAAGAGTCTATAAATCTTTGACTTGATGGATTCTGAGAAATATAAAAGACCTTGGTGAACTTTCAGTATCATATACTTAAAGCCACAGACTCTTAAAAATACAGAAATATATATCCACTTAGATTTTGGACATTGTATGTGTTTTCATCTACCCATAAGTCACAGTATGCAGTAATTTTAGCAATAGGACTTTTTTTTTTTTTTAGAGATTTATTTATTTATGTATACAAAGCTGGGGTACTGGCCAGAGGAGCAGGGGTTGTGAGAAAATTCACCAGAGACAGAGTGGGGAGCTGAACAGGCATATGGACGAAGTATACTGCTGAGGGGAGCAGCAGGCAGGTCAGAAGAGGTTTGGCGTGCCATTTGGGTCACCTCCAGGGCGGGGATTGAACTCATGCTGAAGTGGCTTCTTAGTGCTACGCTTTAACCCACTGTGCCACCAGGGAGAGCTTCCATAGTACTTTTCAATCCAAAAATACCTTCAACAGATGCATTAGTTTTTAGATTGTTGTATGATAAGCGAATTAGCAATATCAAAACAATTGAATGACAACACTAGCTATATATTCACTCTATTTCATTTTAGAATATATTCAGTTTTCTCTCTCTTGTATTTGTATGGATTTCTTGTTTTCAGTTTTAGCTATATCCATTCAGCCACGGCCACTATTTTCTTTTTGATGTTCAAATTGCCCCAGCTTTCGTTTTTTAGACTGGCTATTATGCCCTCTTGACATGACCCACTGATCTTACAAATGTCCTTGCTTTCTGGCACATAGAGACCTTCCAGATTCACTTTGTTTTCTTCTCCACCACAACATAGAACAGCACTTTTCCCCAATGAGTCCTTGTTCCTTTCATGGGGAAAATTGCATTTGAGTAATGGCACTTTTCGCCTGTGCTATGGAATGTAGCTTCTGAACCACTGCAGTGAACAAAGCAAGAAGAAATACATGTTTTTTCTAGTGAAGGATTGAGTTCACATAAATATCTCCACCCTATCTTTTAATTAAGATTATTTTTCAAACTACCATTTTTTTTTATTCAGGTGATAGTTTATAAAACTACATGATTTAGGGGTATGGGTTCACACCTTTTTGGATGCACTACCACCCCTATTCATCATCAAAGCACAAATAATCCTCCACTGTCACAGCAGGTTCCTCTGCTCACTACACACCAGAGCTGCCCATACCCACAGTTCCACAATCATATTTCTAGGGTTTGTTTTGGTTTAGTTTTTTGTTTGTTTGTTTGTTTTTAAGATTTATTTATTTGTACATACAGAACTGGGGTACAGGTTAGAGACTCAGGGGCGGCGAGAGGCTTCACCAGAGACAGAGTGGGGAGCAGAACAGGCAGAT